AATCACTGTGGAAGGGACACTAGGAGGTTGGCCCAGCTGACTTCCATGATCCCTTACAACTTTTGAACTCTGACAGAGTCAAACTAATCTCTCTTGGTCTTACCCTGCCCAAGAGACAGGCAGAGAGAAACTCAGCTAGTAGTAAGATCCCCAGGCTGAGGCTAGCTCCATGTTTGACTGGCCATTTGACCTTGAATGGGTCACTGATTCCTGGGACTCAGTTTATTCATCTGTGTAATAACACCTGCCAGCTCCTACTTACTCCACTACTGACAGAAAGGTTCTAAGGCTAAGGGGAAGCAAGTACTTATGCAGAGGAGACCCCAAACGTGATCTCAGGCCCACCCTCCCTCCTGGGCTCTGCTTTCGCCTCCTCTTAGGTCAGGGCTGGTGGTGCTCTTTAGGGTGCTGTCTGCACACCACCAAGGCATGGAGCAGGCTAGCTGCTGCACCTGGGGGTTACCTAACGATGCGTAGTCACATGTGTGCCTAGTATTTACAGCACATAATGCTTTTCTTTATGATAGCACAACAGCTTCCTCTTTAAAATTAACAAGTTGTTATGGTTTGTATCTAGAGTCTCCCCCCGCTTCCCCACAAGTCTCATGTGGTCATGGGGGCTTTTTGGAGGTGACTGTATCTAGAGTGCAGTGATGCTGGGACTGGTTTGTGGTGCAATGCTAGGACTAAAAGTGCTCGTATTAAGGGTGTGAGTACCGCCTGTCATGAGGGTGGGTAGCCTGGATGTAACGAAATGGACAGAAAGCGTTCTGGGCTGCTCCTTGTTGCTGTGGCTTTGCTGCCTTCTGCTCTGATGCCCTTTGCCTGCTGTGAACTGTTTTTCCTCTGCAGTGTCCCTCTGCCATGCTACCCTGCCTTGAAGTCAGTCAACTATGAACTGAAGCTTCTACAAATTGAACTACAATTAACGTTTCTTCCTTTGACCTTGGGTGTCCAGAATTTTGCCTTAGCAATAAGAAAAGACACGAGTTAGTATAAATTGTAAAAAAAAAAAAAAGTGATTAAAGAAGAATAAGTAATGAATAATGCAAGCAGCTGAATAGGAAAGAACTCTTGAAGGTGGAATGTGAGTGGCTAGGGTTTGGGAAACCCCACATGGATTAAACGACACAACAACCCATCTTCTGGGCCCTAGTCATGAACTCCCCAAGGCCTAGAGATCTGACCCAGTGAAAATCAAAAGGCAAAGACATTTTTGTTAGTTCTGTTGCCAGGTCTCCTCAAGGTGCCAGATACAACCAACCAGCTAAGAAATCAAATTTGGTTCTAGGGTCTTCAATCCACAAAAGTGTGAGAGTGGTCAATTTCTACATCGTTACTTTGGGATCTTGTGTCTGCTTTTCCTGCTGTCTTTTACCTGATAGATTCTATTAAGGAAGAAGGCAACCCCAGCATGGCCTTTCTCCAAAGATGTTACATAGGTTATTTCCCTAGGAATTGTATTTGATTAAGAGCCAAGAGTAAACAACCATCTCTATGTGAATGTTAGGCACTGAGCCATACAGGGAAGGAAATTTCTCGTCCAGGGCAACACCCCTGTGCCTCACAGTAATCCTTCCACTCCCACACGTACGGTAAGTTTCCCTCACACCTATCTTAAAGCATAATGTGAGGCTTCTCTTAGAGGAATCTCCTAGAAACTTGATCAAGTTCTGTCCCTATTCTCACACAGCTATCTGCTAATCCGCTCAGGCCAAGAGTTAAGCAGTCATCATAGAAATTCTGCCTTTCCTGAAGAGCTAGAATGAAAGAAAGAAATTTTCAGAATTTCAGAGATAGCTCTTAGGGGTGCCAGGAAGGTAGTGAGGCTCCCTAACAACCTCCCTCCCTTGGACAGTGTTGTGGTTAGTGGTGCAGACCTTGAAAACATTCTCTTTCCTCTCTCTTCCACGTTGCCCACATTGCATGTTTTGAAATATTCAAACTACATGGGTGAAAAACTAATTATCTTCCTTATTTTTATCATCAAATACCTCCAGTGGCAGCCAAATATCAAGTTGGTATAATTCAAGTGAAAAGCAAAGAAACAGCTTATCATTTACCAATGTAGCATCTCAATTTTTCAAAGTGTTTTTTTTTTCATTTCTTTTTCTGGAACCCAACTTGGAAATACTAAAGTCCAGTGTCCCCCAGCCTCTTCATGGCTCAAACAGGGTCCCAAACCAATTCAGCAAGTTCTTGCCTCTAATGGACAAGAGAATGTCACCCTTGGTGATTTATGAAAAGCTGAAGAGGCACTGAGTTTTGTCACTTCTTTCTCCATGGAGACATTTGAGAAGCTGCTTTCCTAATGGTGGTATCCTGGACTTCTGTGTGACCAACGTAAGATAAAGAACTGACAGTGGGAAAAGCCCAAGAAAATGGGAACTGAGCAAATGCACAAAGAAGATGGCAAGTTTGGAGAAAGATCCTATTACCTATGAAATTCATCCTAATGGAAAAGATAGGGCCTGAGCAGACCACACACACACACACACACACACACACACACACTACATAAACCACTGTCTTCAAAGTATCCCACAGAATCATACTGTAAACCTCAATTTTATCCAATAAAATTTATCAAAAAATCAAAAATCAATGAAACAAAGAAACCACAACAGATTACCGAGAAACATGAAAAATATTCAGCCTCATCAGTAACAACTGTGAGAATATCTAAGTGGAAAATTACACAATGCTATGAAATTTGGGCAAAAAAGTGGCAAAAATAGGCACTCTTGTAACAGCTGCTGTGACTGCAGAGATAGTTTCTAAAACCAATTGGGAATGCCCACCAGAAGCTTTAACCGTATGCGTTCTATTTGGTTTAGAAATTCCACTTTGGGATTTATCTTAAAGAAGGAATCATGGAATGTTGCAAAGATTTAGGTGGTGCCTATGAAAATACCTGGTGTCTATTGAGGGCCTTTAGAGAGAGCATCTGTAAAGTATCCCTAACTAGCAATCAACAACTACTAGTGCCTTCAGCCTTCAGCAACCAGATCTGTCATTGTCTATTTCTCTCCCATGGTAATTCAGGATACTTCTTCAGAGTGAAGAATGTTATCAACAGCTAAGTTAGAATATTATAGGCAGTCAGACAGGGCTGCACCCTAGAAGGAGCCAGTGCAGAAGACCAGATACTTTGCAACTATGGGGGAAAACAAACACCTCCCACTGCAGGCCAGATCTCAAGACAGAAAATAAAACAAATGCACCCAAACCCTAAGGATAAACATCAGGGATTGATATTCTAAATAAGTATCGCCTTGATACCTTAATCATCTTGAGGAAGCCAGAAGAAGCCACTAATCCAACCTCCTATAGGCAAAGGCCCTGTTCCCACTTGCTACATGACTCACTTCCCAGGATGCTGATTTATTACTGAGCAATTATACTTGTAATCTTATTGGTTGATGATAATTTTGTCTCATCTCATGCCCACCTGCAAGTTTCCATTTTCTCCCACCATGGACCTACCTCACCTCATGGTTTTGCTATACAAAAATGCCTAGAAAAGGCAGGGTCTTTGGCAACCCACTCGAGACCCCTTCTGTGTCTGTCTCAGGCAGAAGCTTTCTTTCTCTCAATAAATATATTTTGCTCTTTAAAAATTTAGATGTAAAATTTATAACAGCAAAAAATATTTAGAGAAAGAGCACTATATAAATGTACAACAATAAGAGATTTCATGAATGAATGATGGTGTATCCAAATTCCGTAGCAATGTGCAACCATTGTAAGTAGGAATGTTGAGTAATATTTCAAAATGACATCAAAGCAAACATACTGTAAAACAGAGGATATTATAAGCAGCCCATTATCACAAACTATATATGCAATAGAAAAGACTAGCTGTGAATGAATAAACACGTCACTGATGCTGTGTATCCAAGTGATAAATTTAAAGGAATTCCTTTTTATGTACACTTACATATTTTTAAAAATTTTTCTGCAATGATTAAATTTAGTTTTTGTAATAAAAGAAAAACTCAGTAACATGTTTTTTAAAAAGAATCAATGAAGCTGCAAATTATTATGATAGGGACACAGAAGAACAATTCAAGCATTCAAAGTGCGCTGAGAGGTGGAAAATCAGATGGAGAAATTGAGAGCTGAAGGCTGTTAGACAAAGGATAAGCTTACTTCTGCTCAGCTGGGTTGCAAAAGAGGTTAAAATCTGGCGGCCACACAGGTAAATGCTGGAAGGCAGAATCCAACAAGCATGTCAGCTTTCTCTTGTTCTGCCAATTAACTGTGTGATGTTGTTTCCCTTCCTTGGCCCCAGTGTCTCTTTCTTTGCAACAGCCCTTGACTCCAAATGATGATACCACGTGTAGTACCCTTGCCCCCATTTTTAGAAAGACAAACATATGCAGTGATGGGAGGGAGGTCAGATCAGGATTTAGGAGAGAGACAAAGGAATTCAGAAATGGCCAAGGACACAGTGTGTGTTTTTATAGACTTTGTTCTCTTATTCCCTTTATCCCTGTGGAACTAGGATGACCTAATTTAAGGCCTTTAGCCAAAGACACTACCTACAATAATACCTCATGAAATAAGGAAGAGTCAGAAAACATCGGGATGGATCTTTGGAAGCTGTGAGTCTGACACCCATCCACCAGATCCTAGCTATAATTCACCTTCTTTGGGCATCACAAGAAAGGGAAGGATTAGGAGATGGGGAAGGTTGCCTTGATCCCACAGGCACTTCTGTTAGACACCCATCAACAAGAATCACTGCGAACATGGGATATCCTCACTGCCTGTCTTGTCCCTCCTCCATACCTTCCAGTCTCCCAACACAAAGGCTTGCCAAATTTGGGAAGGCCACAGGATGGCGATAGAGTTGTGGATTCACTGGGTCCCACCCAACAGGAAGATCATGGGTGGAGGTGGCAAAGGGAGATGAGACTGTCCAGTACAAGACAGGGTCCTGAGTGAGGCCAACTCCGGCAAGGAGGGATGGTGGGCAGGCCAACCTAACCACTGACCTCTGGGCATGTCCATGGGGTTGAAGCTGGCCAGCAGGTCACGACACCATTGGCGGTCACCTTCTATCTTGCTCAGCCAGTTGGTACAGTTGAAGTAGTAACGGAGATGAGGCCTCTTCATGTCAGTCACAATCACACGGTCCAGGTACCAGCTGGCGTTCAAGCCTGTGTTGTCATGCTCAATCCTGGAGCAGAAGCCAACACACACATTCTCAGGGACAGAACCAAGATGGAACCCCTTCCTTATTGCAATACCCAGTATTTACGATGAAGAAAAGTTCAATCACTTTTGTTGTTGTTGTTGTTGTTACAACTTCCTCATCCACATAATGAGGATACCTTGTAAGGTAGATGCACACATTAATGATGGCTACATTGTTATGCTGCCTACAAGAAAATATTTTCTTTCATGCAGAGTTTAGGATCCCCAAGGCTTACTATCCCCCAAGGGGAACTATCTTCCAGGTCCTGTCTCATCAGTGCTGCTTTCTAACCTTGGTCTCTGCACATTGCCCCTCTTCCCAATCCGGCCCAAGCTGTGTAAATACCACCCTCTGAAGCCCATCTGAGTCAAGGCATATTTGAAAGTTCACCCAGACAGGAGCAACTAGACCATCTGATTCACAAGGCAGGCCTTGACCCTTGGGGCTCAATTACCCTCTTCCAGCTGCTCTGTGTCCCCTTCTTCGTTTCTCCCACATCTAGCAGTGATCTGTAGTTTGTGAACTTTAGTTCCACTACCCAGCAAAACCCGCATCTAGATTACAGTTGTCTCACGTAAATATAATATGAGGAGTACATTCTAGCCACAGATGTAACTTCAGATTTTTCTAGTAGCCACATTTAGAGAGATACAAAAACTGGAGGAATTAGTTTTAATAATATATTGCATTTAATTTCACTTGTCATTTGAAACATCCTTTTTCTAGGACTAAGTCTTTAAAAGTCTGTGCCTGCGTGTTTTACATATCCAACACATCTTGCTTTGGATTAGCCACATTTCCAGTGTCCAGTATTAACATGTACCTAGGAGCTGCATAGATTCAGACTCCTCAAATGTGCTGCCCACATCCTCTCCCACTTGGAGTAGCCTCTCGGTCTAGATTTTTCTCCACAACTTGGCCCCCAAAAGACCTCACTTTACATGGAACATCTCATCCCTACCTAAAAGAGCGAGGCTTTATCTATGCCAATATTAATGGGATAACCACAGCCCAACACAACACTCAGCCCCAACACAAAGATAACACAACTTGCAGGTATGCACGCTTCTGGCAACTCGAGGTACCTTTCCGCCATTGGTTGCCTTTCCCTACACACCAACGCCCTTCTCAGCCTATCCCTGCTTGTAACCCCCTTTCTTGCAAACAATCAGTGCTCAGGGCCCTCGTGTAACTCTTATTTTTCCAGGAACAACAGCTAATAGTGTTAAATTTTATATCAGGAGAAAGAAAGAGCAAGACTGAGCTGCGTTCATGTTTGGTTCCTATTCAGGACCTAGTCTAGTATGATCAGACCACAAAAGACCCTAACATTCTTACCAATAAGGGTGAACTTGAGTGAAGAAGGTTAGTAGGGATTAGGATAGAAAGGGGAGTTACTGAAAGTTCCTCCTCTGTAACCAGACTAATAGAATTAACCTTCCATATACATTCACAAAAACTCCCCTGGAGAGAACACAATTGATCAGGAGCTCCTTGTCCTGAGGCATCTTGCAACAAGACACTTGCTGACTGCTTCCTCTGTGCTACTATGGCATGAACTCATTGAATTCTAGTCATTACAGAGGAGGCACCGCTAGAGGAAAAACCTGAGGCTTGGAAAAATGAACTGTCCCGATTCCTACAGCTAATAAATAGCAAAGCAGCTACTTAAATCCAGGCAATCTGGACCAAGTTTTGCTCCTATCCACTGAGGTATATAGTATCTCTCAGAGTATATGTCTTAAATTTGTGAAAAGCTATTGCAAACTGCTTTAATCCAAGGAGTAAATCCTATTGCAACTGTGATGTTCAGGGCATTGTGATTCTGGATGGGAGAGAATAATCTGGGTCTTTGGTAATCCTTCAAATGGTACCTGGAGAGTAGTCAATACCCAGAAAGTATTGATAGTGAAATCAAGTCTTAATATACTTGCATGCATCTCCTCTCCCACTATGGGAAGGGGCTTGTTTCTCACCTGATTTTATAGATGAGGCCCACATTGTTGGTTCTTACCCGGAACACATCAACATTGGCCTTCTCAAAGGCAGATTCACTCCTGCAATGAACATATGCCCAGTTAGTAGAGATCAGATTTGATTTACAGGACCAAGAGCAGAGCTAAGAGGTGCATCCTCTTCCTCCATCCTCCCATTCCCAGAAAGAGATACATGCAAACAGATTTGAGTCTGAGGAAGAAAGCAAGGATGGTTAGTATCATTCCTTGCTCTTGCATTGAGGTTCATTTGATCTTTACCATGAGTCACTAAGGCAAGAATTGTGAGAAATATTAGCCATGTTATACAGATGAGTAAGTAGCTAGTTGGTAGCAGAACTGGGACCAGTATGTGCCTCTCCAGTGCCATGATGTCATGCTTGGTGCTTGCCCTGGGTTGGGAGGGTAAAAGAGGAAGAAATGTGCGATGAATGCCTTGGGTCTACAGGCCTCCTTGCCTCTTCCCAGTGCCTGCCCTTGCTCTTTCTAGGAAGGGTTGCAATGGCAGCCCCCAAGTGGATGTAGACCTTGGGTACCAATCCTTGGTTCCCAAAAAGAAGGTGAATATTTCATCATTATCCAGCAACCAGGGAAGTGAGGGAAGTGAGGGAAATGCGTATCTGACATCCTGCAAACGATGTGAACAGAGAAAAGTACATCTCAGATGCACTTTTGCAGCACCAAGTGTAAATCCAGAGTCCGGTGCACCCTAAATTCAACCAGCTTAGGCACAGGAAGACTTGCTCAGAATCCTCTAGAAGCAGAAGCCTGAATCTCAAGTCAGCATCTACTCCACGTTCTGTGTAGGTCAGGACTTCCACCACTGGAGCCCAGGCCTGTTAGCAACTCTTTCTGCCCCATGACTGAGGCCCTTGGATCTAAGATCATAGACCTTCCTCAGGGCTCCTGGGCTTGATCTCCAGCCTTCATCCTGTTGGGTAGTTGTAAAAGCTTTAAGAAGTGGGACCTAGAGCTAGGGGTACAGCTCAGTGACAGAGTCCGAGACTCCAGGTTCAATCCCTAGCACACCACCCCAAAAAAGTGATGGGCACTAGTAGAAAGAAGTTTGTGATCCAGGCTGTGACTTTGAATGGGTCATCAGAACCCTGGTTCCTCCCTGTTTTACTCTCTGCTTTCTAGATGCTGTGAAGTGAGCACCTTTCTCTACACAGCCTCTTGCCATAACATGCTGCTTCACCCCAGAACAAAAAGCAGTGGGCCCAATCAGTCAGAACTTTGAGCCAAAATAAACTTTTCCTCCTTTTAAGCTGATTTACCTCAAGTATTTGTTGGGTCAACAAAAAGTAGATGCAGCCTATTGCTACCAATAGTTAGTAATGTGCTTTAAAATACAGAGAAGTAAAGATCCATTTCACTAAGGGCACAAGGGTTACATTCAGTAACAGAACGTCTTTACATTCCTATAGAGCTCGGAAGCTGAGACTCTGAAAGGGGACAGACTTCAACAAACAGTCTTCCCCAGGGAGAAGTTTCCTTAAGGTAGCACATCACAAAAAAAGCCAGGCTCTCCTAAAGCAGAGCAAAGCGCATAAAAATGTACACTGAGGCAGTACTGTCCTGGAAGAGGCCCCAAAGGTGCAGCCTGGACACAGAGAGGTGAAGAAAAGAATGACAGAAACTTCTGGGTTGACTGGAGGGCACAGGAGACTGCTAGGCTGTCAGCATGTGCCTTAGCTCGGGTTGGTCTCACCCCGGAGGAATGCGGGCATCCAGGCAACGTTCAACACAGTGTCTGTTCCATCACTGGCATAAGAAAAATGGCGAATGTCATCAGTTATTGCTTGAGGATGCAAGGAAAATAGGAAGTCTCCTCCATGCAGAACCAGCGAATCTGTTTCCTGAGAAAATAAACCTAAACAGTCCTGCATTGAAAAGAGAAACTGAACCAAACCGGCACTCATGTTAGTTGGCTAATGCAGGAATTTTAGTTGAAAGAAAAAATAACAACACACTCTAGATTTTGATTCTGTGTCACTGTAGCTGTTAAGTAACTTGAAGGACACGTGGATATCAATTCTGCACATCAGGATTTTGTGAATGAGAAACATAGAAATGAATAATTGTTTTTTTTGTTCAATATATAAGGCAGCTGATTTTTAGAATAAATAGACAAGTTTCTACATCAAATAAATCCCCTTAAGAAATAGTCACCTTAGGAAGCGATGGTGGAATATTTTTTAGTCATCAAAAATAGTATTATAATAGAGTATTTAATGAAACAGAGATAGGTCTATGACATAGGCTTAAAAGGAAAAATAGGTTCAAATGGAATATCTGAACAGAACAATCAATACAAACGGTATCATTTTCATTCAAAAAATAAAGTGGGAGGATTTATACTCAGATGTTGAAACTGTGACAAAGTGCTGGCAGTTTGTTCTTGTCTGTATTGTTTTCAAATTTTCCAAAAGGAACATGTATCACTTCTGTAATTATGGAAAAAAGCATAATTCCACATGTTGCCACTGATTCCACTCTATCCTGGCTCTCATCCTGCCAGCCACGAATATCTTGAGAAGATTTTGGGATTGCTGAGTGTCATCTTCTGAGGGTGCATGGAACTTGGGGAACAGTTGATGCCAGGGGGAGGGGAAGAGGAGGGCAGGCAAGCCCATTTTTAGCTAAAGACAAGGTATGACTTGAAGGAATGGCTTTCTGCTCTGCCTCTCTCAAGAGTTCCAGAAGGGAAGTTCGGATAGCTGCCTTCAACAAAGGGAAGCCTTGTACCCACGACACCTCCCAGCAATCACAGTGCTTCACAGTTACAGAGCGAGGGTGGGGCAGGGAATGTAGGAGCAGCCAGACCGGGCAAGCAACACTTGCCAGGAAGCAGAGCCCAGACAGAAGGAGGGCGGGACCCTGGGTATAACACAAGCTTCCAGCCTCCTGAAATGCAGATTGTTCTCTCCTTGGAAAACAGAGAAGCCTTTCCTGAGCCAGGAACTGACAGGCTCTCCTCCTCCTCCTCTCCTCCTCCTCCCTCTTCTCCTCCCCCTCCTCCTTCTTTCTTCTCCTCCTTCTCCTTCTCCTCCTTCTCCTTCTTTCTCCTCCTCCTCCTCCTCTTTCTCTTCTTCCTCTCTCTCTCTCTCTCTCTCTCTCTCTCTCTCTCTCTCTCTCTCTCTCTCTCTCTCTCTCTGACTCCCCCTCCCTGGGGTCAAGTCCAAAATACCCATTTCCGGTAGGTCCAAATGTATGCGCCTCTGAATCTCTGAAAATGAACTGGGTTGGAGCTAGAAAACTCCTTGGTCAAAGAAACTATTAGAAATAGAGACACTCCTGTGGGAGGCTGGAACTCACCTCAGATCAAGGCTACAGCAGCCTTCAGCCTCTTCCCATGCCACAGCATGCAGGAGGGCCCCGTGCTGGGAGGAGAGGCTTGACCAGCTACATAGGGCATTTTAGCCGGCAATCAGGCAGGGCCATCAGGCTAAAATGCCAGGCATTCTCCAACCCTCCCAGATGGTGAATTCTCAGCCAGGAGAACCATGTTCCAGAAGATACATGAGATCCCATCCTTTTGCCATATCCTGAACTGGTGATCCTGTACTGACAGAGTCCAGGAAGGGAACCAGAACTAGAATCTGGGCTTCCTCTGGGAGACTTCAACATGAGACAGCAAAATTCCTTGAGGTGAAATTGTTTTGTATTCAGGGAGGAAAAACCTGCTTAATGACTGGGGTGCAGAGTGAAGCCCTGGGAACAGGAGAAAAGGCACAGGAAAAAGTAGGAGCTGGGGTGAGATGGAGAGAGAGAATGGGGGAGACAAAGCACGAGAGAGATGGGTCAGAGGCTGTGGAAAAAGGACTCGGGGGAATTTCAAGAACAGAGCTGGCTGAGTTTTAAGAATAAGGGTGTAGTATCATATTTTATGTTGTTTGTGTCATTGTGATATAAACTATTACTAGTTTCCAGAGCTAACAGTCAAAAGGGGTGTGTGTGTGTGTGTGTGTGTGTGTGTGTGTGTGTGTGTGTGTGTGAAGGAGTTCTATTCCAGGTGACTCAGTAACTTTGAGCTGGTGTTGGGTTTGAATGTGGAAAGGAGGGAACAGCCAACAGAGAGAGATGTGAGATGGTGGGACACCAGGAACAGCGAGGTAGCAATAACCTCAGTGAACTGCATCTGTATTCACAGAATGCGACCTCCCCTGCCATCTGTGTGTAGGTTGTGCGTGCCTCCTGGAATCCCAAAGCAGTGCTCCCCGGCAGACAGGAGAGTCTTAGATGGCTGAGACTACATCTGTGTGCTTTTCTTAGTCCATTTTCTTCCTCCGTTCTTGCCCCGGTCAGACTGTGGCCTCCCCCTTCCCCAGGTATCATGCTCACCTAGATAACCTTGACCACCACTGTAAATTGAACATCCACCTATCAGCTTTCGGCCAGGCCTTCTCAAGTCTGGACTGCCCTGCCCTTCCAACCTCACTTATTTCTTTCTCTGGCCGTAGTCCCACAGTTTCAGTCACACGATTCCTCATATAGACTTCGAGTGCACTGCCACCTCCACACCCTTATAAACTTGTCCTCTTAGTTCAAAGGACCCTCTTCCTGTCTCTCTCTTATCTCAGGCCTCTTCACCACTGAAGGCCCAGACTGTGTTCCTCCTCCCTGAGAAATTTCACTCTATCCACTTAACTATACCACAAGTATTTACCAAACTGACTGTTTAAAAAGAATCAGGGTAAATGCTGTAGGCCAACTAGAAATTCCCTTGGTCCTCATCCTGCAGCTCCATCTGCCTCTCTACACTGCCCTTGCCAGGGATGCAGCTGATGCTTCCAAGTGTACCCACATCACACTGCTCTTGAGCCCTCCTGATAAGCCAGATGAGGGTCCTGGCTAGACCCATGCTCCTGCCACCCAATGTGGGGTGGCACAGATCTAAATGACACCCCCGCCTGCAACCTCCTGGGTTACAAGTAGCTTTTGGGTCACTGGAAGATATTAACTCCTGTTTTCAGGACTGGACTGCAGAAGCCACTGTCACACCCTCTGGCTGCCAGATCACTTGTGTTTTATTCCGTTTTACTGAAATTCCTTTGTGAGGACAGGGGCTCATTTTCATGCCACATTATAACAGTTAACACCCAGGTCTCCCTGAGAGGATGTTTTAACAAGTGAGAAAGATGAAGGGAGGAATCAAGATACTGGATGCACAGAAAGAGACAGGACAATGAAGACACAACGCAAAAGGAGAAAAGGGTCATTTTTGCTTATAAAGCTGGCTGGAGAACCCTGGGAACCAGCCAGCCACCTCCCCTATGTTAGTGGCATTTTCCTTGGTGTACTCTGGAGAGGATGCATGGCAAAATGGATGGGTATTTCATGTATTCCCTTTACCGTGCCCACATCATTGGAGAGAAAGACTTCCACAAGCGAGTCACACGCAGTGTGATCAGTACAAGAAGGCAGGTACCCTGTTCTGTGGAAACGGACAAAAAGCACATTATACTTCCCTCCGTACTGCTGCACTGGTGCTGCGGCTCAGTGCAGGGCAAGTGTGTGTCACAGGCTTGGTCACCCTGTGAGGCACAGAGTCCCCCAGCCTGGGAACCTCACCTCTCTACAGCTGCCCCTACCTCCCCTGGAGGTGCCAAGCCATAAACTCCAGAGGACACAACCTAGAGCCCCAGTGGGCCTCAAGAGGCATTTCCTACCCATGCCAGGGCCACAGGGCCAGGTGATCAATTTAAATGTCTCCAAGAACCAGCTTCCCCATCAAAAATCTCCACAACTCTGAGCCCTCAGAGGCTTGGTTTCCCCAATGAAAGTGTTAGATTAGATCAGTTCTTGGCTGTGGAACTTTCCGCTTAGATAGAATCTTATCCAAAAACTAGTGGACAAGACAACCTGCTCTGAAAGATGGCAGCATGGTTGGCCCAGACCCTGCTGGTCAAGTCCTTGTCCACAAAGTACAATTGAAAACCAGTGGACTAGACCATCTGAGGCCACTAGCCATCTCTGAAATTCTGTGATTCTCCTAAAATATGCTCAAGTTTTGCTGTGTGTGCATGTGTGCTTACACATGTGCAGTGGGAGACAGGGCCAAAAAGAAGACACTAGTTCCCACCCTCAAGGGTTTGTAAAGTAGAATACACATGGGTACACATTGCAGACACAGATTCAGGCACACAAATACATGATCTACATGGGTGAGAGCACAAAGCTCTCGGTTAGGTTTTATAGGGTGTTGGTCCACGTGAGACCTTGGGGTAGGGATAGAGTATTTTAAGCTCATGGCTTATCACACATGTGATCTTCCCAACATTACTTCTCCCAAAAGCGCTTTGGTGGTTTGTGAGGAAGACTATGACCTTGTATGCAATGAGATTTGGCCAAAGTTACATGGAACTAAATGTAAAACTGGATCTAGACCCATGTTTCTTGGTCTTGAGTGTTTATTTTCCCACATCAAGGGACAAATAATATGAATTCCTGGGAGATCCAAATTCAGCATTACTGTTCACAAAACAAGAGAGACGCTAAGGAAAGTTGACAAGAGATTTATCAGGAAATCGCTGGCTAATGCATGATCTGTTGTTAATGGTCCATTACCACCTAAAATACTTGCAGTCAGATGTGCATTCTCCCCAGAGCAGTAGACCATACTAGGTTCCAGAACTTAATCCATCCAGACTAACACTCAGAGCCCCACAAGGTCAAGATGATACTCACTTGCTGGTGAGATGGAGCTTAGGAGACAGCCCATTCTCTCCAAAAATTGTGATGAAGACATTGGCATCTGTCCCTGCACCACGAACATCCCCTGTGGCTGTGACCACCTCATACACTGAAGGAAGAAAGGAGAAAACAGATTCTCTTAAGAGAACCCAGAGTCCTACATGGGCATAAAAAACCCAAGAGCTGCTTCCAGTCCCATGGGGGATTCCCACACACAAAGGACACTGGAAACTCTACTCCCTCTCCCAATCCTGTGATCAGGGTCAAACCCACAATAGGCCCTTCTGCAGGGATAAACCTTACCTTTGATACCCACATACTCTTTTTGCAGATGAGGAATCAATGCTGGGGGACAAGCCCCTTTGTTATGAAGTAGCCAGTGCAGGGAACCTACCACACATGTGTGCAGCACAGGAAGACAGGCAAAAGAAAATGACTGTGCAGGGAAGGTGGAATCCACAGGGAGGGAGCCAGTGAAACACGAGGAAGGTGTTTGAAATATTGAAGGATCTGAAAGATGTTTGTCACATCATGGAAAGTATAACTACCTGCTCAGTAAGTGTAGTTATAAGCAATATTTACTAACTGCCTACTGTGTATCTGTCCCTGAGCTAAGGGTTTTGCACACACAATTCAGGCACTGAGGCAAGATATTGATTATTGAGAGAAATCTACTATTATTCTTACATCCAATTTTTTCAGAACAGGTCCCCAAACTTGCAGGGTATATTGAAGTCCCCAACAAGGCCCAGCTCACTGGAAGGGTATATTGAGTTTAGATAATTATTACTCAAGCCTATCAATTCAGAGGTCATTCCACAAGGTGGGGTGTATCCCAGGGGGAAATGACAAAACTGCAGAGTAGAGAATGAGGGTTATAAACACCTACTCTTATATGCTAGACCTGTGGTGAGTACATTAAAGGTACTACTCATCATACAGAAGGCCCATTAGCCAGTGTAGGCTGGGGTGAAGTACTGTACTTCCATGCTGCAGTGATCTGGGAGCAGCCACTGACCGGCTCCTCCAATGAGGGTAATGGACAAATACCAACTTCCTGGTGACACTGTACAATAACCCTAGATGGCAGAGCTGTTCTAGGTTTTAAAATAATGTATATAAAGGCTCTGGAACATGAAAGATACTCAGTGAACTATCTTTCTTGTTTTTAAACTATCATTGTTTATGCATTTAAGCTCCAGGAGCCAAGAGCTCATTCCATTGGTAGCTCATCAATATACGTGTGATTCACACATATTTCAGAATCCCTTCAGGAGACCTCTGATGCTACCTGAGTTCTCCCCTGCCTGTGATGACCAGGAGCAATACTATTTGGAGGTGAGTGGACCTTTTGATGTCCTTTGTTCTAATGAACCCCATAGGGCACTGTGAGTAGAAGTGGGGAAAACGTGACAACCAGAGTTTTGCTCTTTTATCGTTTACTCCACAGTGAGCTTGATCTGCAGACAACCCCTGGAGTCTTCCAACTGACTGTCAGGCACAGCTCTGGGGCCTGCGTGTTGACCACATGGCTTGCACATACATAAGAAAATTCACAAACCAAGTGTCCACAAAATAATGACCATCCTGGTAGAAATTCAAACCATGTCACATGCAAGAAGGTACAGATGCCTGAAGATGGTTGATTTGTAGGAAAGAAGAGTGTGTCTTACAGAAGAGGGATCAGAAAACTACCTCAGTAGCTGATTCAGTGGTACACAGATGCATAAATAACACACCAGACACAAAGAAATTGACACATTGTAATTCAAATGTCTAAAGAATGAAAAGTGAGCCACAGACTATGATATTTGGAATGCATATAGCCAACAAAGGATTCAGATATAGAAGACAGAATTCACACAAATAAAAAAGAAAGATCATGTAATTTTCAAACAGGCAAACATTTTTTCAAAGATAAGCATATACTTTCTGTATCATCCAACGATTTCTTTTTTAATCATGGACCTAAGGGAAATGAAAATATGTCCACACAAAGTCCTATGAACACAATATTCATACAAGCTTTATTTATAATAGACCCAAACTGTAAACAACCTAAATATCCATCAACAGGTGAACAGATAAACAAACCAAGATACAACCATACAATGAACTACTACTCAGCAAAAAAAAAAAAGAGTGGGGGAATGATCTACTGACACATGCAACATGGATGAATCTCAAGCATGGGATGCTGAGCAAAAGTCAAACACAAAACACTGCATTTTAATAATCCCACTTACAAGAAGTTCTATTTTTAAAAAAACAGGACTTAGAAAGCAGAAGAGTAGCTGTCTGGGGTTAGGATCAGGGTAATTTTCTGGGAAGTGACCCGAGGACCCTTTGAGTTCCCTAATGTGAATTTTCTATATATTGATTTGCTAGTGGTTACATAATGTAAAACTAATCAAACAAGACATTTAAAATAGATGCACTTTACTCTGAGTAAATTATACTTCAATAAATTTGGAAAGTGGACCAAAGATTTAAACAGATACGTCATCAAAGGCCAAAAAAACAAAGGAAAGTGCTTGGTGTCATTATTCTTCAAGGAAATACAAATTAAAATTATGATTAGATAGTACCATATACCCAGCAAGATGACTGGAATTAGGAAGACTTTGGCAAGCTTTGGCAAGAATGTAGAGCGACTGTCCCTCTCATATGTGACGGTAGGTACATAAGTGGATGAGCACTGGTAGAGGGACATATGCTCACCCTGTAGCCCAGCAGTCCTACTTCCAATTATAAATCCAAGAGAAGCGAGTGCATGTGTCCCTCAAAAAATGTGTAGCAGCTTTACTCACGATAGCAAAAAAAAATCCAAAAATATCCCAAATACCTATCAAGAGAATGGTTAAATAAATAGTGATATATTTATAAAATGCAATGCAACAGTAAAAAAAACAAGCCAATGTGTCACAACGTGGGTAAATCTATCAGATGTAACACTGAATGAAACAGAAGATACACACAAAAAGTATACATTGATTCTTATGAAGTTTAAGAACAGAGAAAATGCATCTATGGTAATAGATTATTGAGTGAAAGAGATGAAAAGGAGCCATGTGGGAGCTGGACATATTCTGTATCCTGATTGGCAGCATGGTTACCCAAGGGTATCCACATTTAAAACTTCATCACTCTGTACCTTTATGAGTTTTGCACTATATATAGAGCATTCCTCAATTTGTAAAAATTACTTTGTGGGGGCATGTATCTTGCAGAAAACACAAGATTCTATTTAACAGAAGAGAGAACACTAATTCAGTACTCTGGCCTACACAAAGAATTATCGAAGGCAATAGAATGTTCCTGCTAGCATAAAGCCTTTGCTCAACAAGTACCTGGATGAATGAATACCTGGAGTGAATCAATGAATGAATGAAATAATCAGTGAAATGAATAAGGGTAGTGAAACTAGATGAGGATGTGAACCCTAATTCTGCCATTACTGGCTATGTGATTACAGTTGGATCTCTTACTAAGCTTCCGTCTCCTCATCTCTGAAGTGATAATAATTTCCTCCTTGAAAGATTTTGATAAGGATTAAACCAAATAAAATGAAATTTTCAATGCTTATACTCATCAACCTGGCATTTTCACTGCTGGCACTTCTTTCCAACACTCTTTTAAATGAAAAAGTACACAACTCATAAGTGACCACCATCACTATCCACCACATCACTATCATCACTGCAGTCACCATCGTCACCACCACTATCATCACCTTGATAATGACCACCACCACTGCCACCGCCACCACCACCACCACCATCATCATCATCATCTTATCATTGCTATGATTTTCATTAACAACATCCCTAGGAGGTTAGCCTTCTTGGGAAATTATATCCCTGACTGGGATGCAGGGGAGATGTCCCCAGGGCTGGAAGCTTGTGCAGATGGCCTGTGTGTCCTTCAACAGTCAGGGTGAAGCCAACATCTCCCCATCATATTCCTGCCTCAGCCAAAGGCAGATGCATGCACTGGACTCAACTTCCCTCCCTCTGGCTGTCAGTGAACCTGAGTATAGCAAGAAGGTGGCTCAAGGAATGGAAAAGGGACACCTTGGTTTACCTCCTTGCCTTTCTTCTGCCACACTATTCTACAAGACTCTCCATAAAATCCTACAGTAGACACCAAAGTTCAAAGGAAGTAGAGATTATCCAATCTAGGACAAGAGGGTGCATCTGGAGCTCAGCATGTGGTTATCGTTAGCATCAAACACAGTTTTACCCAGGGCACTGAAACAGGCTGGAGAGCCCATGAGCCTTGGAAATTTTAGTGTGGCATCACCCCAGCTCGATCTTCTTCAATTGTTTTTGCCATAGTTAAGATTAGGTGGTACCTAACTCTGCCATTTAGTGGCTGTTTGATCTTAAGCAAGTTGCTTAAACTTTTTGTGTCTACAGATCCTAACCTGCCTTGCTGCAATGTTGCAAAGATGAAATTGGTTAATATGAGTAAAGTGCTTAGTACTGTGCCTGGTGTACAGTGCATGGTTCTATTTAGCACCATCATGAGAGGAAGTGAAGAACTAGTCCTGGAAAGGGTATTTGAAGTTCTTGTCCTCTCTCTCACTTGTTACCTTGCTCAAGTCCTTAATCTCTGAGACTTGATCCTTAACCTGTGAAATAGGACTAATCATACCTGTCTTGACTATTCTCAGGGATCTTGAGGATCAACTGTAAAGCTGTGAAAGGATTTCAAAAAGAACAAAAAAGAGAGGGACCACATTGTCTCAATAAAACACGCAGAGCCTATGAACAGAAGTGGACAGGAAGGCTGTCGGAGAGGGTCTAGAATGTTCTCAGCAGCACCCACATGATCCAGGGAGCCTTATTCTGGGAGCTGAAGGTACCTACCCAGGATGTAAAAGCCCAGCCAATCAGAGTCTGGAGCATGTGTGCCAGGGGAATGTGGCCAGGTTTCAAGGACTCTAGACCCTTCCTCTACAACCCAAAACAGCCCAGCACCTCACACCTGGGGAGAAGCCCTCCCTAAGCCACAGCCTCTAGGGCACCACAGCTGAGACCACCTTGTCCGAGCCCAGATCTGAGCGAAAGATTAGATGATAAGAACCAAGGACAAATAAAGCAGGTTCCACCATCACCATCACTTCAAGGTGGCTGAAGTTACAAGCTTGACACTCAGATTTGCGTACAGCAGTAGGCTCATTAAGAATCAAATAATCACAGAAGTCCCCACTTTCCCTCAGCCATGCAGGCAGCAGCCTCGACCCCACAATGGGCATGGGGTGAGGGCTTCCTCCCCAAGACATCGCTTCAGAGACCGAGCCACTCAGAGTGCTCTGACACAGACCACATCTGTGGGAGCCATGCTGGAGCACTGTCCCCGGGATGTCCAGGAGCAGGAGACTGGAGACATTGTGGTTCTGGTCTATTCTGTCCTCTAGAACTTTAAGAGCAAATTGCCTCACCCCCTGCACCAGAGGGGCCCAAGCTGCTGCCCACGCTGCTGCTTCCTGCCAGGGGACACCGGACAGGCATGCAGGATAAACAGTGGGCTGAGATCCTGATGTCACTGCCCGGAGTGAAGGACAGCTGTGTGGAGCCACGTGCTCTTCACCCCCACCACCCTGGCAGGACCACGTACCCTTGGCCTTGTAGTACTCGTGCTGCAGCTCGTCCTCGTCATCCTCTGAGGCGTAGTTCAGCAGCTCCTCCTCATACAGGCCAAGAAAGTCGATGTCTTTCTTCCTCTTCTTCTTCTTCTGGGGCATCATTTTGCCAGCTGTCCCCTCTCTGCACTCGTGGGCTTACACATCTATCTCCTCGAGCCCCCTTGCTCCTGAGTCACACTTTCTGAGCGGCACAGCCCACATCCAGAGTGACTGTCTTCTCTGTGTCCCCTGTCCCAAAGCCCCGTTGTCTTTCTCCTCTCTGGCCCCTGAGATGACCTCAGTACTTTGTGTTTGCCCTCCCTGTCCCTGTGCCCTCCACCTGCCACCCTCTCCCGCTCTCACTTGCCCTGCGGTTTTCCTTGGGCCTCGTGGCTTATTTATGAGGATGAGACACACAGTCCTCCTTCTTCTCCACGTCTCACCTTCCACTCCCTCCCCTTCCTTCACCAAGACTCAGGTGACCCTAGGACCTCAGCATCTGTTTCCTACCTGTCCTCACAGCAAGGGAGCCACCAAATGTCTCTCCAGGCCGCTCCAAGTCTGATGTAGCCCTTTATCCAGGAAGATCCCCTTAGCCTCCTGATCACAAGGACCTGAACAGCACCCCAGGGCCTGGGCTCCTCCCGAGAAAGGCAGAGCCCCGGAGTGGGCTAAGCTCCCCAGGCTCTGAGGGTTTTGTTTCTCTCCATTATTCATGACCTCTGATCATTTTACACAGCAGTCAGGTTCTTACTGGATCCTTCTCATTCTCTGTGCAGGCTTCTGAAAGGAGCCAGGGAGATCTGCTCTACTTCACAGTCACTCAAATGGCCTGCAAAGCAGTGAAATTTCCAAGTCATAAATTAGTAACACTGCCAGCCCAGAGCACAGGACCCGGGGGAAGTCCATTATTGTTAGAGGAATGCCCCAGCAACACGCACCCAGGCCAAACAGGCATCAGCCTTACCCTAAATCCCCCCTTTACCCATATTGCTGCCTGCACTTCCAGGTTAAATAGTGAACCTCACCCAGCCCCACTCAGCCCCTCATGGGGAATCACAAGTTGGAGCAAGAGAACAAACCCACAAAGTCTTCCTTCTCCTCAATCAAGAGGGAAAGTCCCCTTAGCCCGCTAGTCTTCTCTCCTCTCTTACTTAGATTTTTTTAAGGCACCTAAGACTTTATTACAATTTCTTACAGCCCAAGCAAAAGAAAGATTTCTACGTAAATTCTGAAACGCTTGAAAATTTCACTTCACTTGAAACTCTCAGGCCTAGTCATGTGATTGTGAGTCCTAACTGTGCCCCCGGTGTATCACTCTCTGGCTGGGTAGCCTGGGGCAAGGCCTCTGTTTTCCATCCATGAAAGAGGAATGATGATCCATTGGAGCATATTCAGCACTTGGATGGAGCACTTGAATAATCAGAAGCTTCTAGAACTTAGAGGTTAATGAATGGCCTTGATCCCTGGTCTTGGACTTTCAACTCCCAGAATCGGAATAAATAGATGTCTGTTGTTTATAAGCCATGCAAAACCCAGGTGTGGTGGTGCACACCTGTAACTCCACCACTTGGGAAAAGGAAGCAAGAGGGTTGTCAGGAGCTTGAGGCCATCCCAGGCTACAGAGTGAATTCAAGGCCAACCTGAACAACACAGCAAGGCCCTGTCTAAATAAATAAATAAGCCAGTCCGTGGGATTTTGTTAGAGCATTCTGAACGGACTAAAGCTGCTCCGAACCTGGTGTGTTCTCCTACTGTGCTCGGGGGAGTCCTATGTTTTATCATCTCAGATTGCTCCGGAAGTCCTCTTTCAGGTAATATAAGTGGTCTCCTTCCCCCCATGGGGCCCACAGCAGCCCATCAGAGGTCTCAAGTTAACAGGCTGAACCCGGCTTCCTCCTGGATTTCTGGGAGCATTGTCTTGTAAGTGTTGGTTTACTTGTCATCCTCTCTCGGCCACCCACAGCCGTGAGTTCTATGAAGGCAGAGGTCAAGTGCCCTGGTCACAGTGGCTTCCCAGCATCTGTACTATCCCTGCACACAGCAGGCTGCAGCAAGCATTTGGTGTGCACAATTTGCAGCAAGTCTGTAAGGGGGCCAGGAAAACAAGGCCTATGCCTCAGAAGGGAAAGCAGTACAAGCCGAATACCACCACACTTGACGGTAAAGTCAATGTTGGTAAATTGAATGTTCCAGAAGGGTACCATTCTGAGCACATTTGACCTGCAGAAGCCAGTGCTGAGGGTCTGTGAGAGCGGTTCTCACAGACGTGAACCCTGCTCTTATAAAGAAAGCCCTTGACCAGCCTGCGCATCGAAAAGGGCACTTTGTGCCTGTGAGTGGTGACAACAGACAGGCTTCATCTCAATCCAGGGAAAAAACTGGAACAATGGGCCGTGCTGAGTGACTGTCACAGGGACATCCAGGTCAGGTCTGGGTAGCATTGCTCATCAGCTTATGGCAGGGGACACTGCAGCAGCTCTTCAGGTTTGGACTTGCCCCTCTGTCTAGTAGCCCAGATATTCTGTGACTCTGGATGGCAGGGGCAAACAGACTGCGGTGGGGCCATGACAGCCAACCAGTGACCACGTAGTGGACCAAGGCCAAGTAAGAGTGCTAGCTAGCTCTGCTGCAAAACCCAAACCAGAGAGACTCAGTTTTCAGCCCACTGGGTCTCTGGTGGCCACTCTAAAACCTAGGCTGGGGACTGAAGGAGGGCAGGAGAGCCTCTGCCAGCCACACTGGGTCCCCCAGCCTGGGGTGGTGCCAGGAAGGAGGAGGAAGCTATTCTGCCGTCGCACAAGAAACATGGGCTCCTCTTTTGTGGTCTCCTGGCCCCGCCACATTTCTGCCTGGAATATGGTCACTGACCAAGGCTCCACCCCTGAACCCTGATGCCTAGAGGCCCTGGCTCGCACCTCCCTCCCTCTTGTGGGTCTCCCAGCTCTGGGCTACTCTCTGAATCAATGTTTCCTGAATTGTGATTCCCAGATAACCTAATCTCAACTCTTCCCAGTAATCTCCAGACCTACTGATTCAAAATTTCTGAAGGGGAAACACAGGAATCTACACTTTCAACAACTCCTCCACCCTGCCCCCTCCCCCATGACTTTTAGATGTACTACAATTTAGAAAACCTAAGTATCAGATACTCAGTGGGTCACAAACCTCTATCCTGGAGTGCCAGTCCTAGCTGTACATTGGAGTTGCCTGGTGTCTTTAAATGCTTATGCCTGGGTCCTGGCCCCAGAGATCTGGTTCACTTAACCTAGGGTACAGCTTTCAAGCTCTGGGTGATTCAAACATGCAGATGTGTTGAGTATCACTGCATCCCTTCTCAGGTAACTGAGATGTGCATACACCACCTCTAAGCTGAACAAGTGACTGTAAGGGGTGCATTTCAGAAAGGAGAGGGTTGCTCACAAATCTATAGAGACATCCGAGCAGCAGTCAGCACTGAATTCCTCTCCTCAAACCTGTGGCACTTAGTTCCTCCCCTGCTTTTTGCAGCCATTTAGATCCCCCAGTAGTACCTTTGACCCCAAACATCCCCACCCAGGAAAGATCGACCTCATCTTTGCTGATCTGCTGAGGGACCAGCCTGGAGTGAGCTTTACTGGAATGAAGTTCAGTGGTGGGTGACGCTCGCCCCCTGCTGGTAACATGTGGTTTGACCTCTGGGACCTTGAGGCTTACTTATTCTGTGTGAATATCCATTTGCAAAATAATACCAAAATTTTCATTTTCAATGAGGCCCCCACTTAGATAAAATATTTATTAGAATATTTTTACATAAAATTGAAATTAAAATATTTTTAGACAATCTCATGACATCAGAACATATGATTAAGAAAGCAGGATCTGAGTCAATACCAAGCACTGACTGGATCAGTGAAGCAAGTAGCACTCTTTTATGCCCAGCAGGAGGACAAATGGCCCAGCATTCTGGTTAAAGAACATCACTCTCATTCAGCTAACAGACACTGCCTGCACAATCCAGAAATTCCTCTCCTGGGCATGTAACTAAGAGAAAAGAAAGTATGTGTCCTTACAAAATCTGTACATGAATGTTCGTAGAAGCCTTAGTCACAAAATTCCCAAGCTGAAAACAACTTAGGTACCCATTAATGGGCCAATGGGCAAGTAAACCAAGTTGCCCCTATATGAAAGAATACTTCTCAGCAATAAAAAGAAGTAGGCACACGTGATACTACATGGATGAACTCAAAAGAATTTTGCTAAGTGAAATAAACCAGGTAGGGAAATTGTACTATATACTGTAAGATTTCATCTACATAATATTGTGACATTCTTGAAAAGCTAAAACTGAAGGATAGATGCTTGGGGAGCACTAGGAGGCAAGACCTCAGAAACGGAAAGTGGGATCCACCTGTCTCTCTCACAATCCTGCATTGCATGCTCTCTTTTCACAACCACATGACAGCCTTACTGGACCCTGCCCAGGCAGCAGAGCTGACCATCTACTGGACCCCCACCCTGGGCCCCACCCTGGGCTCGCTGGTATGTGAACTCCCACATAGCCAGCTGTGGAAGGGAGCTCAGAGACTACTTGGCAGGTCCACCTCTCATCCCAGGCAGGACCATGCCGCCACCACCTGCCATGTAGACTTAGCCTGAGGCCATGAACTGTGCAAGTGGCTGGGAGACCTCATTGCTAAATGTGGCTCATAGACTGCTTGCAGCTTGGTCCTCTGATGAAAACACAAAGAGTAGACAGGATAATGACTAAGACACAAACCCCTGACACTAGGGAAAGTCTATTTACCCAATGACCATTTGCACATGTACACACAGACACAAATGCGCAAGATCATCGCCGTGTCCATTTTTCTATTCCTTCAGGTATTCTCTCTTACTGCTAATGGCTTTGATCAGCCACCCTTCAGCTCAGAAAGCTTCACTTATACTCCAAAGAAACCATATTTTGAATTGCAAGGAAAACAAAGAAACACTGGCTAGTTTTCAAACAAAAGATTTATTTAAAAGTTCATGAGAATGATTTCATTAATTTCCCTGAGTTCTAGTAAATACCTGGAGATGATGCCCAGAATTGTACTGATCCAGTGAGGACCCCATTGCCACCAAAGCTGACGCTTGTTCAT